GAGTATACCCGCTAGCTAATACACTACTCGAGTGAGAATTCACACAAGATACATTCAGTTCAGCCACAATACATATTCCAAGGTACACGACGTAATACAGTCAATAGAATTGGCAGAGTTCACAGAGTTATTGTGAACTTTAGTGGCGCTATCTCGACCGAATTTTATAATTTATTAGTTTTACCGAGGCATTGATGATAAGGGTGTTTATGAGTGAAGTTTAGTGTCTGAGAATAATAGCCTGTCAGCTTTTCTCTTCTCCACCATGGCAGTTAGTGAAGCCAGAGGTGGACCTAACATTAACTAAACTTAAGAAATCTGACACAAGTCAACTAATTTATCAACAACAACATAAGCACATATGATACTTACAGTCTATATTTACAGATGGATCCAAGGATGGTGACGCAGTTGCAAGCGCCACCATCGTTGGATCCAGGACTACCTCACCCCGGTTACCAGATAACTGTTCTATTTTTACAGCAGATGCAAATGCTATTTCAACAGCACTTAAATACTAGTATATCGACAACCAAACTAAACATAAAGAGTTCATCATTTTTTAGACTCTCTTTCTTGCCTACGGGCTATCAAAAATATGTCTTCCACCCATCCACTATTAATAGAAATTATTGAATTGTTTAATAAATTTGCTACTGGCCAATACGACATCGTTTTCTGTTGATTACCTAGTCATGTTGGAATCACTGGGAACACAATGGCAGATGCTGCTGCAAAAGCAGCACTCAACAAATCTGCGATATCCTGCCATCCGCTGTTACATCAGAGATCTCTAAGTTTTCAATTGTGTAGATAACTATATCTTACATTGGTTATGTATAATTTGTAACTTAGATTGTAAGTGGCTGTATCCTCAAATGGGGTTGAAGTAGCGTAACAATATATTGTCCCCCTGAGAGAATATGTAAGACCACATCATTCAAAGTACATTTATTCATACCTCAGTTTTAATATTGTCATTTATATATCTGGGTAATCTTTGTCATAGTTTCTAAAATTTAACAATACCTTGTCCGTAAAAATTAAATTTGATGATAAAAAACAAACCAGATGACAATAAAACCGATCGCCCAAACGAATCACGGCAACGGCCATGGTAACCCGATGCACGTCCCCCCCACCTCCACTGTCACAGGCCTCACCGAGGACCCATTCTAACACCACGTCATCGCCGGGACCGTCTTCAGTGGCAACACAGCACCAGCACTTGCGTCACCAGTGGTGGGGAAGAGTCCTCTTCTCAGACGAGAGTCGTTACTGTGTCTCAACAGCAGATGGCAGAGAGAGAGAGTCTGACGACGCCGTGGGAAACGTAATTCGGATGCATGTGTTGTTGAGAGAGACTCGTTGGGTGGTTCGAGCATCATGGTGTGGGGTGGAATTGGTCTTGCACATAGGATCGGCCCTGTGGTCTTCCAGAACATCGGTCCAGACAGAGGCAATGGTGTCACAGCACCTCGGTATATTGATCAAGACTTGAGGCCACACGCCATACCTCATTTGGCACGTCGCCCCAACCACGAGTTTCAGCATGATAACGCCCGTGCCCACACTGCGAGAGCAGCAAGAGACTTCCTCCAGCAGAATGGCATCAGAACCATGCAGTGGCCTACCCTCAGTCCCGATTTAAAACCCATTGAGCACCTGTGAGACGAGATTCAAAGACGGCTGAATGACGTCCGACCAAGGCCGACAACTGCAGCTGATCTGCGTCAGGCGTTCCCCAGAGAGTGGGCTGAAGTGCCTATGGCCTACATCAACCGCCACATCCATTCCATGTAACGACATTGCACGGCAGTCATCAATGCACATGGCGGGCACACGAAATATTGACTTGTGATGCCAGTTCCTCAGAGACTGGTGTTGTGTTTCACTTTACGAACATTTGACACTTTAATTTCAACCTTGATGATGAGTTTTGCCAAATTTCATCTGTTTAATATGTCTCAAAGTATGTTTACAGTGTTTGGACAAATAAGGTTTCTCATATATCTATCCATGGTGACGTTTCTTTGGCGGTTCAGTATATAATTATTGTAACTGTTTCGTCACGATATGGCTGAAATATTGCCGATGTGACGTTACATTTCACTCACTCACTCACTTGCTTGTATGCCACGATTATGTACACGTGGTACGTGTGATTTGATGAGGGTGAATGATAAACAGCTGTAGATATAGATAACGGTATTAACGCCTTAAATTATTTTTGTTTGTTTGCCTAACTCTGTCTGACCACCGCAATAAGAGATACTGCTCCCGGATTATGTCAGATGCTTTGCTACTGAAGCTTTTAGCGGTACTTTTTACACTTCAGGCTCTGCTTATCACAGTATACAAACTAAAAAGGTTGGAAGAATGATGTTTGGTGAGTGATAAACAAAATCTCACCTTCGTGTCTTTTGATATCAAATATATGAGATTCTCTATATATTCCCTGTTGCCAATAATTAATATACTCAACAACAAAAGTTCCTGTGAAACTTATATTTTAGTGTATTTTTCAAACAAGTAAAGTTTGGTTTTCCAATATTGTTGTACATGTATGGAATCAAGTAAAAAAACGCAACTGCTACAGAAAAGCATGCATTCCATGCAAAGGTTGACTTTTATGCAAGCCCCATGCATTTCACTACCCAAGAATGGGTATAAAATTACGTGCGTTAACGGGATTCCATAGCATCGTGCTGACAACGACCACTCAGAAAAACAACAAAATTACGCAATTATTCAACATAACGAAATGCCACGCCTGTCCGAAAATGATCGTCTGCGAGCCAGTGGTATGCTTGAAGCAGGATCGAGTCAACGTGATGTAGCAAGACAATTTAACGTCCACAGAAACACCATTTGGTGTTTATGGCAACGTTGGCAACAGACGAATGCAGTCAGAGACCATCCTCGGAGTGGCAGGCCACGCGTAACCAATAATCGACAAGACAACTGGATTCGAACAACACACCGAAATCGATTCCAGCCAGAAACAGTGACTGCAAGAAGCATCCCTGGCCTTCGACGAATATCTTCACAAACCGTACGTCGTCGCCTCAGATGTGCAGGGATTGTCGCCAGAAGACCCGCCAGACGTTAAATTTTGACAGGAAACCACCGTCAAGCACGTCTACACTGGTGCAGACAGCGTCTACGCTGGACGGCCATGCAGTGGGGACAAGTTCTATTCTGTCTCGTTTTCACCTCAGCCACTGCGATGGACGGATTCAAGTGTACCGACGTCGAGGTGAACGTTACGTCATGGAAGAAGATCGGTAGCGTTATGGTATGGGGTGGGATTACAGCAAGACAGAGGACCCGTTTGATGGTGGTAGAGGGAAATCTCAATGGACAGCGCTACCGCGACGAGATCATCGGCCCTGTTGTTCTACCGTCTTTGCGTCGTCATGGCCCAGGCATTACCTTTCAACATGACAACGCCCGGCCTCATATTGCTCGACTTGTTCAGGATTCGCTTCAACAAAACAACGTGAATGTCATCCCCTGGCCGGCTCGCTCCCCTGATCTCTCAACAATCGAGCACATGTGGGATGAGATGGATCGGTGCCTTCGACGTCAACCACGTGTTCCACAGACACTCCAGGAACTTCGAAACATGCTCCAGCAGATATGGACAGATATCCCACAGGACTTTGTGCGACGCCTGGTCCATTCCATGAGACGAAGATGTGTTGCTTGCATCGCAACCAGAGGTGGACACACACGCTATTGATTTGTAAAGTGACATTTTGGTCATGTTTTTTTTAAAATGAAATCAGGCATTTTCTGAAGTCAGTATGGCAAATTAAACCATTTGAACACTTACAGTAGTCTTTTATCTGATGCAAACCGAAATTGTTTCAGATTTGGTGAAAAAACATAATTTTGCATTAAATCTTATTCAATGTCAAGGGAACTTTTGTTGTTCAGTTTATTTGGCATGTAACCGGATAACATATTTGTAACACTTGTCCTTGTCCCCAAGTTGACATATTTATTACTCACTGAATCTCAATAGTCAACATTGAAAAAAACGTAGTCGGCATAAGGTTGGAATATGAAAACAACGAAGGTGTAATGTTATTAAACGGTTGAGTAAATAGCGTTTTCCTCCGGTCTTTTAATATCTAGTGTACAAGAGCATGTTGAAAAAAAGTAATAAAATATTTGAATTTTATTACTTGTATCGACTACTGGTGTCATTTGATGTGAAAATGTACCAGGGGGATATCCTCTGTATAGTGCCCCGATACATATAGCTGGAATATTGCTGAGTCCGGCGTATAACAACAAATAAACAAAACCATCAAACAAGCATGTATTCTCTATGTACAGTTCGTGATGATCAACCATTTTAATTAAGACGTATACATTGTTTATTGTTGGAAAATAAATTTGATGAACGTTACCATGTCTAACTCAATCGATTTATTTGACTTCAGTTTGAGGAAGGTTTACCAGAATCGCTTGTCTGTGTGTGATTCTGTATTTTCATCTAATACATATTTTATTAAATAATATTATCTATACACCTTCGGTATCTGTAATATCCGTACTAATTGTGTGAGTGATCGATTTTGTAGAACGTAACATACGCTTGTCCAGTGATTTACGTGTTTATTGAGCCGATGTACTATTGTTTACATTTTATGGTTGGTGGGTATAAAATACCGTGTCAACCGACGAGACACGTGTCTACCTTATATGGGGCGTGACAACCGTGAAAAGTCGGTCAAATCTTCACAGATACTTGAGTTGACGGCTATTAATCAGTTTGCGTCTTTGCGTGAATGGAATGCAAACCTGACAGGAGATAACCTTCGCCAGCTATCTGGTATTACTCTACAGTTATCTAGGAAATATCTCATTCATAACGACAAAGCGATCGCAAAACAACAATCGGCCGTGCGATTATTGATTGACAGAAGGTGTGAGAGCGTTAGCCAATCAGAATCGTTGTACATATCATTCTCTCGCTGACCCAGACTGTTGGTCGCTACGGGATCGAGGGCTGGTGTGTTGCTATTGAGTCGACTGTGTGTCGGTTTGACGGAAATCATTAGCGTTGTGTCGCGTTTAGTCTCCACGTTACTTATATTTTGTAGATGTACAAATGAGGAAACTAACTATCTGAACCAAGGCATCAGTCGCACGTGTGTTACCCGTGCGGAAGGCTTATTTTGGCAAGAGCCCAATATTGTCAACACTTTTGAGATTTACAAGGATTTGCCATCTTCGGTTTCTTTCGGATACAAAAATTGCGGCCCTTAGCTCAATGAGACAAATACTGTCGAACAGCTTTCGATTTTCAGAGCCGGATGACATAGGTAAGTAGCCAATATGTTATAACGAATAACCGACAATGAAAACAACATGTAGGCCTACCACTGACGTAATTGTTACGAAGTAGAACTCGTTGTGTGTTGCGTGATGTTGATGTATTTTAGCTGAATTTTACAACTCCTTTCCCAATAACGAAAGCAGCACCTGTTAGCGTGATGGTGCAAGTACGTTAGGTGTACGAGTTGGTTTGCGACAACGCGCGAGTACGTGAGAGTATTCACGAACATGTTTTCGAGGGAAAATCGTAGTGGTTTCTAGAAGTGGGTCAAACGGGTCACGCGCTATAACGAGACCAACGTGGAATCTATTGTTGAAGGTTGTTGCTCTTTATTGCAAATGTTACCGTAAGCACGCAATTAATCAAAAGTGTACAATAAAATGTCAAAATATAATTAATAGTTGTATTGTGTACAATTCAATACAAACCTAACTAAAAGGACTAACCTCTGTTAATAATACAGGCCACTAGGCCTATTTGACTCTGGACGTCACCAAATGTTATTTTCAATAACAAGATATATTTGGTTTGTGTGAGGGTAACAATATACTTTCTATTTATGTAGCACCATTTCATAAATTTATAGTCAGGGTTGTTTATTGAAATTATATGTTTATCACAAGTCAATATTTATTCTGAGTGTATTATTAAGAGCCATTTAGGCAAATTATGGGCTGTCATTGTGACTTCTCTCACGTCATTGTATAGAGCCAGTTATAAAATGGCTGCAAAATTGCTTGCTTTTTAAAATTTCATCTTCATAATAGAAATGGGAAATTGTATTTTGAAACAGCTAAAGTTTCAAAAAGCACACAAACTGTTTTTAATATAGGACCCCAAATGGGGATTTTGCAGCGTTAGAAATAGGCACTAGTCCTATAGTCCTTGCCAAACTGCCCAATGGTAAAGCTATCATAAGGACTAGTATAAATTTGCCCTTTTTATAGGTTTTGTTATGTTATCATTATAAGGACTAGTGGACAAAAACTGTTAGTTTCTAACCCTGATTTTGGGTTAGAATAAAAGACAACTTATGGGTGTGGCAGACTCGGTGACCAGATTACAACGCAATTGTGCCCCCATGAAGTGGGTTGTTGCTCACAATATCAATCACTGGCTTTGTCTGGCCCATTCTCAGTTATGTACGGACCGCCTCCGTGGTCTAGTGGTAGAGCGTCCACCAGGAGAGCGGAAGGTCCGGGGTTCGATCCCCGGCCGCGTCATACCAAAAGACGTTAAAAGATGGTACTTGTTGTTACCCTGTCTTGCGCTCGGCATTAAGGGGCTTAAACAAGGACTGGTCGGCTCGGAGTCAGTATACTGCGTCTGAGTGGGGTATTCATGTTAAACTGCGGCATGGTATCTCAGTGAGCTAGCACTATAAATCGGCATCAGCCTAGGCTAGTACAAGCAGCCACATACATGCATGCAAATCGCTATATAAGTGCAATAATCTTGGACACGACGTTAAACCCCATTTCACCTCACCTCAGTTATGTACAGTCCACTCTCAGGGAATCCGGGGAGGGTTGCCAAACAATATGACAGTCTCTAAGCTAAGGGTCATAACAAATAATATTTTCGGTGAGGCCCGGGACAAAATGGACTTTAATATTATAATCTAAAGTGCTTTTTGCATTTTCTTTTCAGGAGGGTCATTAAAAAATATGCAAGGGCATGGGGAGGGTCGTCCAAAACTAGGACAAGCATGAGGGAAGGGTTATTATTTTCTGTACATTAGTGCATCAAGAACCTCTGACCCCCGCCTAATATATGACTGGTCCCTTCTGATTCCCGGGTAGTGTTGGGGTATTTTCAAAATGAAACAAATACAATAACCATTAATATGCAGCACTATTTATGTCTTTCTTAAGCATGTTAAGGTGTTTTTGCACTTATTTGCAAGAAGGGCATAAAATGTTTAAAAAAACGGATCTGAAACATTGTGAATGCGCTAATTGAATTCCTACACGGAGTAATGGTAATTGACCCTTCGAAAAGCCACGTAAACATAATGTCACTCTGACTGTTAATATTGCATTGCCTCAATCACGGACAGGACTTCTGGGTATTTTTATTATAAACTGTCATGACCCTCCCCAAATATGTTTATTGTTTTTTATAGCCTTCCATAGTCCTGCACCATGACTGTGGAATATATTTATTTATTTTATGAAAAAACAAAAACAATCTAGATACATGTATGTATACATGGTATAAAAAAAGTAAGTCTAGCCAGCTCTAGCTAAATCAGCATCGGGAAAATTATTTGTATAACGCATACAAAAGTAAGTCTAGCCAGCTCTAGCTAAATCAGCATCGGGAAAATTATCTGAAATGTTCACAGCTCCGTGACACCAGTACACAGGGCATGCAAACTCACTTCATGGTCACCGAAGTGACCACACATGTAAAATACCGGGTTTTGTAGTTGAAATTCCGCGTAATCAAGAGGCGACCCTGTCTGAATAACGACATGCTGACAGTTGAAGCTACATAGAAATCATCAGTTCAAAATATTGTCATGGCGACCGATTTGGGACAACCATTGTCTGAAAGAACCTTTAATTCCAAGGGCTTATTACCCTGTAGACATGACATGTACATGTCTTGAATCACCTACGGTAATTGCCATTGCTTGTAATATGCTAATCCTAATTGTTAATCCCTATTGGATATGAATACACAATGCCATTTAGAAAGTGGTCAAATGTATCAAATGTTATGTTTGGGATAACACTTTCTTAGTTAAGTACAGATTCTCGCACTTTTCCTGTCTGGGATTCGAACCCACACTCACCAGATTGAGGCACCTATCGCCAGCGCTCAAGGTCAGCGATCTAACCCACTCAGCCACCCCCAAAGTATGATAATCTGTTCTTTACTAAGAAAGTGTTATACCAAATATAACATTTGTTACCTATTGGATATATTAATGACTTAATCTGTGTCAGAGGACCTTGGCCTAGGGATGAAAAATAGGACGGTCTAGCTGGGGCCAGGCCAGGTGCTCCCTGGCACCAGCACAACACCCACTACCACTATGTGCTGACCTGGCACAGTTTCATGATAGTGATTCTTGTACATATCTATCTGAATGCAATGTTTCGGTGTAGATACTAACATGGTTAGCAAGCAAATGACATCTTCCTGAGGCAAGGGCGTTAACTGACTATACCCAGTTACCACCCTTGCCAAATAGGCTGGAATTTCCAGGCTCGATCGTAGCGCCACCAGAGGCGATTACGAGTTTTGTCCCTTCTATATCTCTCCAACTGACCAATTGGATTCCATCACTCATATCACTTGCATTTGCTTCAAACAAAATGGTGCTGCCGAGCCAAAACGATCAATGATCAATGTTACATGTGTTTCCAGTGCACGTGCAGAATGCCGTTGTTAATATAAGCAGGAGTACCAATGTTCAAACCGAAAACTTTAACACAGGGTATTCCGAAACGATAGTTACGTGTTTAACGACTGAATCCATACAATCTAGACCATATATATGCCATTCCAGAATGTTCTCTCGCTCAGGTTTCAATTTTTTAATCGAGAATTTGTCCAAATATGTCTCAAAGCGTAATCGCCAATTTGAAATTTGTGCCGTAAAGCATGAGAAAGCTGCCTTCTGATTGGCTAATGTCAACTTCTTGTCAGTCCTTCCATTGGTCAGTCAAAATTCGCCCAAGGTCGGTCTGACGTGACCTGTAATGGGATGTCCTCAGATCTTTGTTTAGCGTTAGCGAGAACTAAGATCTGATTTTAATGAGATTGTGATTGATTCTCATCAGGTAACAGGAGAGGAGTCACTTCAGTTTATAACAAAGCTATTTCAAGAGAATGGCTTGTCAATGTGGAACTAACATAAAAAGGAAGTCAACAGTTTGTGGTCGAGCCAGGCGCTAATGCTAAAGGGAGACAATTTAAGGGGAGGTAACTCTTGTATCATGACAATGATTCTGTCAAAGTGTTATGTAACTGTGGTGAAATATCAAGTGTTATATCACTGCATTGAAAATACCACTCTTCTCAACCTAAGAAAACTCAGCCTTTCACACTAAATATCCCCCAAAACTGACCACCACAGAAGATATCATTAGCTGAGATGAAGGACCTCCAGAGGTGGTATCCTGCAATGAAATTGCATCACAATGCTTTGCAGGCCATTGTGACATCATCAGTTACATTGACATCAGTAATAAGAACAAGTTGTCCCTGGAGTCCTTACTGTCCACATACCGAGACTTGCCTATTAGGAGGATAGAATTACTACAAATCCATGGATTTTTCTTTGAGTAGAGCCTCGCAGCAAGGCTAGCCCGAACCCTGTGTTAACTGGTAAAATGACAGGCTGTATGGTGCTGTACATCACCTCCTCCCTCATGTCCACTCTGTTGTTTGCTGCATGGCTGACCTGCTTAGCACCTCTTCCAATTTGCAAGGCTGTGTTTATTTCTAGCGTGGCCTACCCTACCAGATTGTTGATCAGGCTCGGGGATTATCTGGATTCCACAAAGTATCCTTGGCAGTAGACTAACATTTAGTCTCTGAAATCTTATATTACACAATATCCTTCTTGACTCTAAAAATAAAAAAAATTCCCTATGCTGTGGAATAGAGCTAGCTTGAGCTGGCTAGACTTTAGTATGTATGCATTTCTAGATTATTATTTTTTCATAAAATAAATATATTCCACGGTCATGGTGCAGGACTACCTTGGCAGGTAAATGGGAAGATTGTTATTTTGTTCAAAATAGGGATTTTTAAAGATAATTTAATGTACATTAACCATTGTTAACATTGCATTCAGTAATGAGAAACTGAGCGCAGCACATGCTTTGCAAATCCTGCAATCGACCGAAATCTGCATGACAATTTTGATTTCGGAGCGCAATTTTGATTGGACTATGCATAGACTCATTAGTCCAGCTAAAATGTAACTCCATAATACCAGCCTAGTTCGGCAGTGGAAACTGGACTTTT